GAGATCGAAAACATTTGCTGCAATCTGCGAGCGCGGCTGGAAGAGGAACAAAAAAAAAAAAAAAAAAAAAAGTGGGAAAAAACACCTCTTGCTTTATTCAACACCAAAATCTCTCTCTCCCTCTCCTTCTCCCTCATTCAGCTCTAAAGTCAGAGCTAACAAAAAGTGCTGATAACAGGCGCTCTCTCTCACCAGACTGTAGCGTTTCTAAATGGAGAATTAAACCTTGAGACGGACCTCTGACATTTAAAATGTAACCTTGTGGGAGGACAATGCCTTAGCATTTATTTATAGTGAAGCCAAAGAAAAGATAATAGTTCTGCTCGATAACTCTGCGGCTTGTTTCTCCGCAGCGAGGACAAAAAGGGGTGGCGTAGGGTGCAGATGATGATCTTTTCAATTAGGCAGACGTCATAAAGCGTGACAGATTAGGGTGTTATTGAGCACCAAGGTTGATAGGTCTATCTGCATCTCGCAGGGAACAGAAAACTATTTCTCATTAATGAGAACGGTGACTGTGGAACAGCCTGGGCTTCAGCTGCTCTTAAAGTCAAACACATTAGGTTATCATAATCATCAGTAATACAATCATTAAAATCATTTTTGATAATTACCAAGATTAAAGGGAGCCAGTGTAATTCAGGGAGCTCTCGTTGGTGACTTAGTCAATATACCTTGCATTTAACCCATCGGTGTTGTTGCCTTCATGTCACAGCCACCTGTGATGTGTGTGGAGGGTTGTGACAACGCATGCTGAGTTAATGTTTGTTTGTGTGTGTGTGTGTGTGTGTGTGTGAGCACATATGTGGGTGAGGAGGCAAGGGAGGTGAGAAAGAGAGTGGGTGAGAATGTGGTGAAAGCGATTGCACGTGTCAGCATGCATGTGCGTGAATGCCTCTGCGTGTGTGAGGGTGCACTCAGGAGATTAGGGTTGGGCTCCCTGTGCCAACAGCCTAAACATCACTGATGAGTGAAACCTGCAACCACAGCCAAAGAATCCAACGCACACACAGTCAAGCCAGCAACACAATACACACTGAAATCAAGGGATGAAGGTTTATCAATGCGCAATCTCACACACACATGCCTCCATGCGGTCATTTCTGTACTATACGCACAGCCATCACAGCAGTACAAGACAACCTTGAAACTGGCAGGTAGCACCATGTCCATTAGCTGGTGGAGGAAGAGACACGTCACAAAGGCAGCAGTGGTGAGCCCCACAACAGAGGTCTGCTGCAAAGGTTACTGTAAGCTGCATTCACACAACTAGAGAACATTCTCTGTCATGTGACTTGGTAAAAATAGGAGCCTTTCAAAGCAGCTGGGAAACAAACACACCTGACTAATGACCACAGGCTGAGCGGAGGACGGTTACAAACAGCAAGACAACTGGTAAACTGCCTGAAACAAGGCAGCAGATATATCTGTAGGATTATATGAGTAAAAACATGCCTTACTGTACCATAAATAGGTAGAAATTTGTCAGAGGAAAACCAAACTATGGACCTAAATTTCTCTTACAGGTCCAGTGTTGATGATTTGGGGGAATAGACCGGCAGAAATGGGATATAAATATGCTTTCTTTAGTGTATTATTGACTGAAAATAAGAATTGTGTTGTCATTACCTCATTGTTGGTGAACGGCACCTGAGCGCCTCGCCATCCTTCCTTCTACAGAGTGGTCCAGACCGCTAGAAGCTAGTTACCAGTTAATGAAGAGCTAAGCTAAAATTAATGTTAATAAGCCAGTGTGTTCCCAACTACAGTTCGGAGCCAGTGAGCTGTCTCTGAGAGAGGTAACAGCTTTCTAAACAATAGCAATGGCAAAACATGACAACAACAATCATTTACTTTCGCTCTTATATGGCAGCTGATCTCATTCACAGTAAGGAGCTTCAGGACCTCAACGTTTTAACAATTTGCAAACATTTTTGGCCCCTGCTCTTCTTCGAGTTAGCTGCTGGCTGCTATCAGCTAATTTGTAAATCTCCCATGGTGGGTCGTACACATAACGCATTGTCAAAACTTCATACACATACTTCTGTTACCAGTTCAGAGGCAGAGAGATGCAGCCAAAAACAATACCATTACACCACTGCTCCTACAAACCTCTGTGGAGTCAACCGTATATTTACGCAAATGGTGAGCCTGGTAACCTGTGTCTTGTTTTCCCTCATGTCTTCTTGTCCTCCAGTGACCCACACAAATACGTCCTTGAATATGCAGCTATAGAAGACCAACCTTCTCTCAGAGAAATGTCTGAGCATAACCTCAGAGTCTTTGCTCGTGTGTGTGTGTGTGTGTGTGTGTGTGTGTGTGTGTGTAAACAGTAGGTAGTGCTGTGACAGATAGTCCTTGCAGGTAGAGATACACCACTGCATCAGTGTAGCATAAATATTCATTAGTGACCTTGTCACCTCGCTACACACAAAAATATGTCCAGGTATACAGGACATGATATACACACCCACATACACTAGAAGGTATGTTTCACACTGGTAGAGTGTTTTGACTTCATTTATTTAAACAGTCAAAGTTCAACATCATTAATTGTTGGTGTGTTTCTATGCATCTGGATAACTGCTTGTCTTTGTGTTCTGCTTTCCCTTTTTCTTTTGTCTGAGTTGTAACAAAAACAGCCTTTACATGGAGTTTGACAAACATCGTCCGTGAGAAATGTTAGACTGACTCACTCCCAAAAGCCAACAGCAGAACCAATGCCTATCATTAAAACAGCAGCAGAGCTATAAACACTACTTGCTGCTACAGCAGGAGACTGACACTGTTTTACTGGAGTGGTTAAACTGACATGCTCTACACAAATCTTTGACCTCAATGACTGTGTTTACATGCACGCTAATATTCCACTGTCATTCCAAATATGATAATATTCTGAATTTGAAACGAGTCACGTAAACAGTATATTCTGTTTGGATTTTCCAAATTACATCTGATTCCACTTACGTATGCGTACAAGAACAAGGCAACCGGAAGTCCATTCATTCCTATGGAAATCTCTGTGATATCCGATGTGCCTGTGAAACTCCTCCCCTCTGTTATATTTCGGTCTGGAATTTCCCACCAATACGTAAAATAAAAAAAAAAACAAAAAAAAAAAAACAGAACTATTGCAGTGGATTTTGGAGAGCCAGTATGACAGTGTGCTACCTTAGCTAACAGGCTGCTAACTGGCTAACAGGCTGTTTCCTTCGACTCAGTTGCCTGTTGATTGTCGAGTGAGTTTGTCAGATTAAAAAACTTGTTTATCTAGTTTTAACACACTGTGAATCTGAGTAATGTTATTCTGCTAAAATATGGTAATACATTATATAAAGTATGATCGTCATTATGACTTGTTCAGCTGTTCATACATTTTTTAATTACACGTTACACAAATCATGCTATGTACGTGGCAGGTTCTGTTTCTGTCCCGGTAGTGTTCCAAACTACTGGATGGTGAAAAATGGACCAAGTTAGCCTCTACCCCATGGCTACAGGTAGATTCTATCAGATTACTATCCATCCGTAAAGAAATGCACTTCCTTGCATTGGACACTAGAAGCATCATCTGTATATTTACAGATCTATGGACACAAGTCACATACGTAAGTGGAAACTGGGTGTAAATGAAGCATTTTTTCAATTAAGAAATGGGGGATATGCCGATATTATTTTTAGCAGCATTCTTTAGACTTGTATCCAGTGCATTGGAACTATGCGTCTCAACTGGGGTTTTTACCGCAGTTTGTATTGTCATGAACGTAACGTTTACAAACCAACTTGTTGGAAGAGATGCATGCCAAAAAGAAGAGCCCACATTTCTGTTGGGCTTTGGGAGAAACACACCTACTTTTAAACATCATGAAAGACTTGGATATCAAGAGGTTTTGGATATCCGCAAATATCGCAATGCCAACCTTTTTGATGAAAGAGGGAAGCTGTGGTCATAAGGTTGAACTCAAAACAAAACAACCCTTTGGAATCCTAGAAGGAATATTGTCTGTTTTGGAATAAGGGCAAACTCTTAATGTTTTGTGCACATAAATTGCTGATGCCATAATACATCATATAATGTGCATGCAAACGTAATGCAATAAGCATACTGAACTGCTCAGCTTGCATGACAACCCCACAGTAATAATAGTAATATTAGCCCATTCAGTTTTGTTGTAATTACAGCTGATGAGATATTTGCAACAGAGCAGAGTTCTTTTTTTTTCCCTGTAAAATGACCAGAGATGAAGTGGCTTTGATTCAGCATTAATTTAGTTTAAAGAACATCAAGGCCAGGCTCTGACAAACTGGGGGAAACTGTAAGTAACAGCAGTATACGGCTGATTAAAAAACCTTGAAATCTTTACATTTCAGGATGTTCATTTTACTAAAAACTAGCAACAGTACTGTATTTTTTTTTGTCAAAAATCTCCAGCCTTTCCACCTCCAGTGCCTGTGTGCTGAACAGTAAACTGCACAAACGCCCCTGCAGAAGCTTGCATTAAATAATATAGTTGTTTTACATCTGCCCTAACTACAGATTTGATACAACAACTCACGCACTTGGCACATCAACACAAACCGACCACTGAGCCAAGGGGAAAAAACAACTGCAGCGCTTTTTAAAAAATACTTGCACTCACCTTGTTGACAACTGATATCACAATTACAGAAGCATATACTGTTCTTTTTCTCAGCATCATGAAGAAGTACAGTAAAGTTTTACAAGGTTATGGACTGAACCTTCAACTCAGATATTTAACTGTATTTAAGATAAAATTGCCACTATATTTAACTGACAATATTCATTATATTAAGGCTCATTTTCTCTACGTTATCTGATCATAAGTACACTGAAGTGACAGGATATCACGAAGGCTTTATCCATATGTATCACAGCTCATTATGGAAATATAGTGCTCAGCTACATTTGCCATATGCGATTTATTGCACATACGATATGATTACTTTATCAACGGAAAGATAAATGATCTCAAACTCACCATTGTGTGTTTCTTGTTCAGGTGTTTCTTCTTCCTCTTGCCTTGTGTGTGTGCCAGGCGGGGGTTGTTCTCCTGGTCTGAAGGCTGTTGGTGGTGGTGATTGTTCTTGCAGGGCTCCAGACTCAGGCCGTTGGGGACCCTGGCAGCCTTTTTCTTGTGTAGGGGCCCTGCCTGGTTGTCTCTGCACTCCTGGGGCTTCAGTGTCAGGTTCTTCTTCAGAAGAAACAGCACAAGAGAAAGCTTCAATTAGTACAAAATAAACACTTGGGTAATGTGATTTTTACAGCATGTATGAGCTGTGCAGCTGACCTTTAAGGATTCTGTAATCCTGTTGCACATTAAATTTCTGAACCTGAGAAAACCTGCTCATTAGCACACTTGAGAGCTTGAGAAAAAAAAAAGAGCTGGATATTCACTCGTAAAAGCCTGTTTTGTCAGCGAGCAAATCTCTACTCTACAGTAAGCAGTGCAGTGAATTTGCTCTAAATTGAGGGGCAATGGTGCAGAAAAGCTTTAGATACAGTGTAGTATCACAAGATTTTCTTCACAAAGAGCAGCAGAACAAAAAGTAGTTCTTTCTTGGATTGTTTTTGCCATTTGGTTTTATTTGAAAGTACACAGCAGAGACCGACAAGAAAAATGAGGACAGAGAGAGCGAAATAAGACTCCAGCTGACTTAAAACCACTGGAGCTGCGGTTAGGTAGTAGATGTCTTGGAGCACTAGCAATTTTCAATTAGTTCCCTTATTATAACTCCTCTTTTGAATTCTGCAGACTGAAATATGTTACATACTCCTGGATTGACTGTCGTGACATTTTGCTCAGACATGCATGGTGCCCAGAGGGTAAATTATAATGATTCTGGTGCAACCAGCAGGTCAAAGTTCTCAGTTATCTAGGGACATTCACGGTTCCCAGATGATGTATCCCACACATTTATTTGTAGCGGCCTGCTGGGATTAACATTTGCCACCACATATTGATTTTCTATTTTTGGATCTGTGCCTCTGTCTCAGTCATACAGAAATGAAATGCTCTATTTCTTAGAACAACAGCAATCTCGATTTAGCGTAGAGCATCAGATTGGATTGACGAATGCAATGACTACTGCAATTTTCCAAACTACTTAAGATGAAACTAGCTGTGTTCCCATGCAGACCACATACACCGCAGTCCAGCCATGGTCTAACCTCATTAACAGCAGCAACAGAAAGTTTGCTGACCCTGCCTCCAACTTATCCAAAGCAAGGTCGTGGGGGCTGCAGGCTGAGCAAAGTGCTCAAGCGCCCCTCTCCCCAGCAACGCTTTCCAGCTCCTCCTGGGAGACCCAAGACGTTCCAAGGCCAGATAAAATATATAATCCCTCCAGCGTGTTCTGAGTCTGCCCTAGGACCTCCTACCAGTGTGTTGTGCCCACAACACCTCTAATGGCAGGCGCCCAGGAGGCATCCTGATCAGATGCCCGAACCACCTCAACTGACCCCATCTGACATGAAGGAGGAGCGGCTCTGCTCCGAGCTCCCTACAGATGTCAGAATGACTGCGAGCATGGTCAAAATAATCTACTTCACGTCAGCAAGTTAGCATGCTGGCAAATGATTTAGCTCTACGTACTTCTGCAAAAATCACAGCCTCACAGAGCCTTGAGGATTGCTGAAGATATTCTGGTCTCGTCTATAGACCTTTCATATATGCAGGGCTGAGGCAAAGTGACTTTTACTCTTAAAATACATCCTAGTCAGGTGTTTGAGTCAGAAGTCATAACCAGACTGCTAGAAAGTACTTGAGTCTGGTCTAAACTCTTGACACACTACTCCCAGTGTTTTCTCTTGGTGAAGTTGGAGTCTTTGTAGGTGTTGCTACATGTCTCCACAACCATGGATGACATTACTGAGCATAATAACTATCCATTTACTTATACTTTACCCAATAAAACCACACATGTAAAAGTGTATATGCTACCTGTTTTACCTAAGACAGTCTGACCTTTGAGTCTTAAACAACTCTCAAGTTTGGCCTGAATTAGGAGCAACAAGGACAAAACTGACTAGAAACTTTGGATTGACCTCGTGTGCACCTGAAAGGTAAATTTCGGAGCAGGAAACAGAACAGCAAAAGCACAGCAAGAAACATCAAAACATTTAACTTCAGTTTATCCGTCGGCACATAAAAACTACATCAAAAGACATATCTTTTTATGAAGAAAACTAGATCCTGAAAACAAACCGATAAGCTACAACTCCAATATCGCAGGGTCCACACATGGGGTTATACAGTTTGACAGGCCTGATCAATAGAACCACTCATCTGCTGCTGAGAGACTGTGTAATGTATCAAAGCTGTCCGCCGTAAAACTTATGGAACAAATCAGTTTTGTTATTTGAAGGGGTGACCTGTTTTGCTCCATTGTGGACCAAAGAGCCAGTGGTGTTAATACCCCCAGGGAGACATTTAAGCTGGTGAAGCAGCAATCAGAGTGGAGGCTGACTGCTGAAGGGGAAGGTGCAAAGCTGCCACAGCTGAGCTAATGACATGTCGATACTCTGCAACATTTTAACAGGAGGGCTGGAGAGAGGAGGCTTTGAGTATCTAGTGGCCCTGGCACCAATGATACATGGACGATTTAAAGGCCAAGAAATTTAATACACTGTATGAATGGTGCCTTAATCCCTGAATGCATGGGTACTATTATTGCTATAACCATGATGATGATCTGAACATTCTTCTTTGCTGCTTTTGTAGTATTATTACCAATTCAAATTTTATGTTATCCTTTCTTAATCCTCCATATCTTGTGCTTCTTGCCAATTTTCCTCAAAATGACAGATTATATTCCGCATTTGGGGAAATAAGGTTCAACACTCTGGAAACTCTAGTGGTGGAAGGCAACTAAGTAGGGATGCACAATATTGGATTTTTTGTTGATATCCAATATTCCAATATATAACAACTTATTTGGCAAAAAACAGATACCGATATCCCTACTTAATTTTAAGAATTATCAAGCCTCTTCTGTAGTGGAATTAACATCATATTATACATGTATACTCTTATCGTGATGGCCCACCAGCAGATGAAGACAAGAAATACAATACTTTTCAATATATGTAATATTCTTTCATTGTGCAAAATGAAAAAAAGCATGTTGGCCGATTCTGTTTCATTTTAAATCCATAACTGGCCGATACCAGTGACGTGCCAATATTATCATGCGTTCCTACAGCTAAGTTCATTTACTCAAATACAATTTTGAGGTATGTGTACTTTACTCGTGTATCTTCATGTCATGTTACTTTACTCCTACTCAACTACATCAGAGGCAAATGCTGCACTTTGTAAGGTTTTATTCAAATAATTAGGGATACACCGATTTATCAGCTTAATATTATTATCAGCCAATGTTTGCACTGTTGACTGCCATCAGCCTATTGCCAATTAACATAACATTGACTGATGGCAGTGGCCAATGTTTATTTATTGCGTCACTTCAGTATTGGGAAGATTTGTGTCTCTTATCTGTGGTCGGACTCAGACAACAGTAGCTAGCATACCCAACTGTTGATTCACAGAAAAAGCCAGTGGCTCCACCCGGCTCTGGCATGACGTAAGAAGGCAAGGGGTGCCGTGAACATGTGTGGTTTATTTTCACGTTTGCTTTCAGTGAGCGGCTGTTCAGTTCTGCATCTAACATCTTGGATGGGAAAAGAAATAGACTGAGCTGCAACAAGACAGAGATGCTTGTAGTTACAAAGACAAACATGCAACTTACTAGGAAGCAGGCTACGAGGTACAGGTACATTTTTTTTTCTTTTAAGGGTTTCCCACGTACTCATTTATTAGTGGCGGCCCGCCACAATTAAAACATCTGCCACCACGTTTTGATTTTCTATTTTCGCAGCTGGACCCTTCATTATGTATGCTGTTGGAATATATATATTGCTCCACACACTCGCAGTGCAGAGTGTACTCTAGGCACAGACGGAGCAGCAGAACACCGGGCGCAGTGAAAGTTAAATTCAGTGTCATTGCGCTGAGTCTAAAAATTTGCTTTCACATACAAACAGCTGCTCTAATCATCCATTGATCTGATTCTGATCAGGTCTGATCGGATCGACTGAATGAACACAAACAGCTGCTGAGGGAAAAAAGAGGAGCTCTGCCTGCGCTGCATTCACGGACCATTCGCTTCAGAATTTAGTGAGGGAACAGATAACAGTTATAAATATGATTGACTGTTATAGCTTAAACTACCCTACAGAATATGAGATAGTTTACCTTTACTTCAACAAGCTACAACATAAAATGCTGCATACATGGTAACACACTCAAAGTATTAATCAAAAATACAATCACACTGCCAGAGGGTTTTTTAAGTGAATACTTTTACTTTTGCTGCTAATGATTCTGTACTTTTACTTAAGTAAAATGTTGAATCCAGGATTTCAACGTGCAGTGCAGTATGGCTGCAGTTATATCTTAAGGGGTGGTTTATATTTGTTGAGCAGCACTCAAGCTGGACTCCACAAACCCTGCCTCAGTCCAGGATTTATCCCACAGCCCACAGAAACCACAGTGTGACTCATATTTGGTGTACAGTACATATGAGGAATGATATCAAGGCAGATTTTCCACAAAACACCAGTGAGAGAAAAAAATCAACCACATCTCAAGCAGCAGCAGTTACTCATATGAGGACCACCTCAGAGCAACCTTAGCGTGCCTGTAGAGAATTACATCACCAGTGTTACAGATATGCGCTGCTGTCAGAAGGATGAGTTTGATGGGTGTGCTACTGGCACTGACTCACTAAACCATTTCTAAAGGCCTCGATTCACTCGTAGAAAAACAAGTGCATGCATCAACTAATCTTGTTTGCCTTTCCCGCCCACACTCATCCAAGGCAAATAATGCAACATGACATGCATTGTCAGTGCACAGAATAAGTGACAAAGTTATGATGGGCCTGAGAGAGCCTTCATTGTGCCAGCTTTCTGCATGCTTCCAAGCCTCCCAGCCAACTGATTGCCTGGAATAAATTATGCACATTATGTTTTGCCTGCCCGCCGAACAATAGCAAGACAAATTCCTTATTTCAGCGCCTTAAGATGACACTGAAAAAAAGTAATTGCTCAATATGGCTCACTCTCCACCAGCTTTCATTTCTGTGATTGTCTGGCAGTGTACAAAGTAATTACACTGTGGCATCCAGTGAC